GACTCTGAAATTCAGCACAGAACTAGCAGCGCCCCAAGAGCATTCTGGAAATTAAAAGACAGCGTTTTCTATAATCATGACTTAAAGCACAAAAACGAAACTTGCAGTATACCGAGCAATAATAACCCCACTATCCACTATGTTATATGGAAGCGAAACTTGGGTGCCGTACCGCCAGCACACGAACGCATTAAACAAGTTGCAACAGAGACGCCTTCGACAACTGTTAAGAATCAAATGATATCACCATGTTTCAAACGTCCAATCAGTCCTTGAAAAACTTAGATGCGAGAACGCTGAAGTCATGATTACTAAATCCCGCTTAAGACAGGCTGGCCACGTATGCAGGATGCAGGAAAATCGCCAGCCGAAATCTTTTCTTTACGGTGATCTTGGAGACGGTAAGAGGAAACCGGATGGACAACTCAAAAGATACAAGGATATTTTTCATGAAAACTTAAAGGGGATAGGCATGTAGAATCAGTGGGAGGATGCAGCGCACAATAGAGTGCAATGGAGAAGAATTATTGTAAACTCAGTTAACAACGACAACCAAAAAGTAAAGAGGCAACAAAATAATACGATATTTGAATGTTTGTAGTGCGGAAGGGAGATAACATCGCGTGTCGGGTTTTTCAGTCACAGAAAAGTTCACGAAAGACAACGTAACCTTACGTAACCATCTTTTGATGCGTGTCAAATACTCGTCAGCGAGTAATGTTATAAGTTAGTCATTAAACTGTACATCTTGATAAAACAAAAGGAAGCTTACGAAAATTATAACTTGAAATTCAAAACGTTTTTGAAAAAAGTGTTACACGACACTCGAAATAAAACTTTCTAAACAAATTAACGCGTCAGCCGAGTAATGGTATCGGACGGGAAAAATACTCCAAACTTTAGTATCATTTTTCTTCAGCTCTTTAAAATTAAATTTTACATTGAAAACTATTCAGGATTACTTGGCGAAACCAAACTTCTTTCAGCTTTAGAATTTAATTAAAACGTGTTGCTCGTTTTGTCGCCGCGCGCCGTTCTAAACAATGATTATTTAATAAAGATCTTCTTGAAAAGTTTGTATTGTGTTATTAACTCTACACAAATTGGAAAGGGTTAGCTTTAAAATTAAGACTACAGAAGGTATTGTTGTTATACAGGGTTCGGCAATAGTGCGTCGGGCGTCTGTAGCTTCTAAAATAAAAAACAAACGTATAGTACGAGAGCTAGCAACGTCGGGAACAAGTATTTTAGGGAAGCTGGCTCTTTAATATATCGTTTACTATGTTCTCTGGAACAGCATGTGGCCCGTCTGGCTGCCGGTAAACTTTGCGTTCCCTACTGCGCATTGAAAGAAGATCCTATTAAAGAATATTTCTCTTATTCTTCAAAATAGATACATATAACTTTATATTGTTGGAAAGTGTTAAACGCCAGCATTTTTTTAAGTTCATAACCAACTATGATTTCCATTTAAAAAATTATATTTTTCATTATTTCTGATAAAAAGAGAAAATATAAGTATTTTTTTAAATCTTTTAGTAGGCTATGACTGTTTGAGAAATTCGATATAAAAAGTCCAATTATCTTCATAATGGTAAATATTTTTTTTCAAACTGTAACATCTATAAATAACTGCTCATAGAGTCTATTTGTATGCATTTGAATGCTTTATTAAAAAACAACAGTAATAAAGCCTTATATAATGCAAGTTTCTTTCGAATGGCTTTCGTTTGTTTGCATTGGACATCGAAACTCTGTTGCTGATTGCTCTAAACAATCTAAAAAAAGTATTACTCAAATTAATTTAATTGTCTTCACATATTCATAATGTAGACGTTTATTTTAAAATCTCAGGATAATAACTAAGACTAGATGATTTTCGAAACTACCTTCAAATTAAGTTATGTACTAAATTGCTCTGTTTTATACACTGGACAGTTACTTATAGGGGAATAGAAGGCAACCCTGCCTATTGAGAACGCATGCACTTATAGGGTTTTCTGCCGACTCGTCCCGTCGCGTCGCATATACGTATTACTTTTTACAAATATACTCAGGGTTCCCTATTTAACCCCGTGTGTAATTTCTGTGCCGTAAGAAAAAGACAACATAACCCAGCTCCATATTAAAACTGCATAAGTCTATTTCACCCGGATATGGATTGAACTGCGATTGCGCCAAACTCCGATTGATTGTTGTTTTAGTTCTGTTTGGATTACTTTTTATTTGTGCGCGTAAAGAGTGATTTTGTTTAGTTTATTGTTTTCAACTATTTTTTGATATTTTTCCAACTCCATGATAATGTGTTATAAATAATAAAAATATAAATAAAATTGAAGGTTAGGGGAAATGTCAGTCAACCACTTCCCTTTAAAAACATCGACCAATGAAAACTTCTTCAGGTGAGGCATGCTCAGTTAAATGAATATCCGGGTGAAATAGACTTATGCAGAATTCCATATTGTTCTTTCACTGTTTGGGCTTCACTTTTTGGAGATTAGGCTGAGTATATTTGTAAGAAGTAATACGTATATGTCGCGTCGTCTATCGAGGAGCGGGCCGAGGTTGCCATATTTCAACCATAAAGCTCTTGCCGCGAGTAATAAACAAATTAACAACCTGTATATGCAGGTTGATTCATCTAATAGAAATATACAGTATGTCCCCGGATTGTATTTACAGAAGGACAAACATTTATTATTGACATTTTAAGAAAAATGCATTCTTCATAAAAATGTTTGCTCAAAAGGCGTTTCTATGGATATATCATTTCGATTTCATTCTTTGATAGATGGGTATCATTAAATTTGATTAGCGTCATATTCTTTGCTGTTGTCATAGATAAAGGAAACAAGTTTAGATCAAAGTTTAGATTGGAATGCTCCGCTTGCCGCCAAAACTTATAATTGTTTTGGAGTGCATATTACCTTATACGAGATCTGGTGCTGCTATCGCGGTTGCGAAGAATAACCGTAAACAAGAACAGAAATAATTTTCTCTTGTCGAAGTCAGAATCTTTAAAAAGTATAAAATCTAAACTCATTGAAAAACCCTCATTGAAAAAATACCGAAAAGTCCATTTTCAAAGTAATTTCCACAGTCACAAAACGTCGGTTTCGTTTCATAGCTTTTCATACATGTCCTGATATAGAATAAAGTTCCTTATATGCAACACACTTTATTTTATTTAAAAAAATCTTTATAAATTTGAATAAACAATATTTGGCGACATAATTCCGGAAAAAGCCGAACCGCTCCGAAATTATCAAAAGCTTTAGAGAGCGACCGTTGTAAGAATAGCACCAAATAGTATTTATATTGTCCTTATGGGCACTTTTCAATCTAAATTTGTTTCCATATTTCCTTCCATATTTTCAGATAACTATCATCACCTTTACCGTAGCATTGAACTAAATAATTTATTTTTATCAATTCAAATTTAAATTTATTTTATAAAACCTTTTTCCTTTTTTACCCTTTTTCATTTTCGATAAAAAATCGTTAGATAATCTTTTATGATAAAAAACTGTTTATCACTTGTTAGTGTCTTTGTTTAAAGTGAGACCATCCTGTTTAACGAACATACTGTTTGAGGTTTCGTGCAAATCGATTGGTTAAATATGTCGCTAACTCTCTACTGCTAAAGTACAACGCCACATATCTCACATCTGTTGATTTTCGTCATTTTGGCATCTGTTATTCAATTTTGATTTAATTACTTATGATTTCAACTTGCTTTAGTGGTAATTTTATATTCCTTGTTTAACAAAGTTATTGTTAGGGTTTTTCTTTTCGTTACCCGTATGAGACAGTTTACAATACAAATTTATATCAACACTAGCGTGTACCAGCGACTTCGTTCGCGTCAAATTAATCATTTGTAATGGTGATGATAAAGCAAAGCAAGAATTTCCATTAACATACAAACTGGATAAAATTTTCTCATATTTATGTCAGCATGAGAAAAAACAATATGGCGATATTATTGGTATTATATATAACTTGGTAATATTTGAGGGGTAGTTTCATCTCGTTGAAATTTGACTTTCGAAAAATCCGTTTGCGAAAAATAAACTTTTTACGTCGCGCTTTAAGCAGGATCGTGATTAATTAAGGACCAGATTTTTCGAAACACCCTGTATACATTTTTAAAAAATCTTAAAATATGTAAAAAAACAAAATAAAATATACGTGTTTAAGCGTTTTTTCGGAAACTTGACCGTTTTTTAAATAAGAAATATTGTAATATTTAAGGGGTGGTTTCACCCTCTTAGAACTGGAATTTCGAAAAATCCCTTCTTATCGAACCTCTACACCCTAGAATCAACCTGTATGCCAAAATTGAGCTTCTTACGTTGAGTGGTTTGAGCAGGATCGTGATTATCAGTATGTCAGTCACTTAAGGATTTTATATATTAGTATAGATACCTTATTTTTTACACCAAATTTCAAATCTCGCGTAAAATTTCTATTGTCACTTCTTACGAGACATCGTGTAAATGTTTAAAATGGGTTGTGATAATTTTCAAGTAAAAGTTGTTTTATCAAGATACTCTATTATGTGAGAGCTAACTTCTCGAGTTTACGTTTCCTTTTGAGAAAACTGAAAATTAGGTTGAACGCTAATTAGAACTGTTTCGAAAGTAAAATATTTATCTTTACAAATCTGCTTGAGGCTAAATTTAAATATTTTATGTAATGTTGGTTGTGTTATTTATCTATTTAAACTTAAACATAAGCAAGTCCGTCCCACCTATATAAACGAAATTTAACAAGGGTTACAAAAGCACATCAAAAACATGTATACTTTTTTCTCAGTAATCTTATACAAACGACAGAGAGGTATTTTTTTTAATATTTTGAAGACAACTTTATATTCAGAAGGCGAAACCCTCTAAAAACAGAGTTCTTTAGTTTTGGGATCTGGAAATCCTGTTAACAAATTACGTTCCTTATTTAATGTATGGTAATCATATAAAAGAAATGAGGGTTATACTTACGTCGTTATTCTTGTCCGTGTTTAGGAAATGCTCGGCTACGTGAACTGGTAAAATATTAGCTAATAATTTTCGGTTGTATGCCTCCAAATGTTCCATGTCTTCCTTTTCCTCTGTAAAAGAAACATGACAGGAATTTAGAGAGATTTATTTTCAAAAACTTCCCAAATTATACCAATCATTTACTTTGTGTCGGGATTATTCACCATTTTTTAAAAATCGGATTATATTATGATAGTGAAAAAATCTCAATCCAAATTATAATTATTAACACCAAAAGATTTATTTTTTATTTTTTATTACAACGATTTTACTGTAAATATAAATTCGTACTTCATCATATGAAAAGTGGGTGGGCCACTTGTCAGTAGCAGGATTTTAGCAGATTGAAATTGATTGAGATTGAGATTGACTATACGATTGAAAAAAAACCGGCGTCAAGACGGCTGCGGAATGACAATGTATGACAATTTTGTCGAGGACAAGCCTTAGACGTTATTTATTTGGCTCGTATCTTCTTTATTTTTAAATGGCGCTTACTGTCAAATGGCTTTAAGAAGGATGTGATTTATTTTTGTATTGAGTAAAAATGATTTTTAAATAGTGTAGCTTAAAATTGGAGAAAAAAAATTGGAAGTAGACTTGTGTGTCTGAAAACATTCTATCCTTTTTAATCTTTCTATAATTAGTGTTAATTTTTGACAAGTTATATGTCAAATCTTAGTAAATGATGTCTAGAGATTGACCTCGGCAAAATTATCATCGATCGTCACTTCTTAGCCGTCTTCGACGTCGTTTTTTTCATCGTTCTCGGTATACATATATACGTTCTCCATGAAGAAATTGAGCATTATCTTTCCTCTTAAAGGCTAACACTAATTTGAGTAAAACTTTTCCTGACCCATAGTTTCCTATGTAAAATTATCCAGTGAACTCTATTAATGAAGTTTAGCGAAGAATAACTGGCTCTTAACTCTATAAGTATCTTTAGAACTTCTAGGGATCCGTTCGCGCCAAATTAATTCGATAAGGGATCGAAATTATCGAATTTCCTCAAGCGGTATCCTTGGGAAATTCTGTTCCGGATCTATATTCAACTGGTTGGATTGAGTTACTCTTTTAACTTCAAATTAGATATAAATCGTATCTAATCGACCTAAATAACATAAAATCTTGGGCTTTTGAATTTACATTTTATTTGGTGGTTCAACAAAAAATATTTATGAAAGTTGTGCTTTTCTTTTAAATTGGACATCCTATACATATATTATTCAGTTTTCGGACTCTAAGAAGAAAATTAATGTCAGTGACGTTAAACACGTATTTCACAGTTGGATTAGAGTATCACAGGCGAGTATCACAGTTGGTTGTATATATTAATATCTCTCATAAAGCTCAAAATATAAATTTTCACGAATTTCACCACGTATATTGAATCCACTTCTTTCTACCGTATATTGATGACATTCACATATAATGTGAGTTACTGTTAACTCGACATCACAGACTATGCCCATTGGAGGCATTTCTCTTTTAAGCTGATATGCATGAGTCACCGCAGTATGCCCAATACGAAGATGATGCACTCTGGATTCATCCGCTCGTCCTAGTGCAAGACGTAAGGATGGGGTTGACGGATCCAGTTTTATTGCGTGAAGCTTTGAAGGTTTACCTGCCCACTCATCCTGCCATTCCCTTTCTGTTCTTTTATGCAGTAGTACTTTAGTGGTATTACAAATAGTTAAGAATAAATTTTATAAAAATCAAAATATGTATTTACTTATCCATTACAATTTGTAGTAAGTATAGGCACACTACATAACTAAGACAAGACAAAATTATTAATGCGTATTAGTACGTCTGGGGACAAGTTAATTTGCTGCTAGTAAATGGGACACCCAATATATTATTTCTGCATTCGGCACAGAAATCACGCCCCCAGATATATAATTTTTAGTTGTTTTTCATGGTTTTGATTCAGGTGTATTAAATGCTGATAAAAATCAAGGAGCACACACACATTAATTTTGTTTCACCCTGTATAACTCTCCATAAAAGGTCTGCTCATTGTTTATAATAGAGTTGATACCGTATGATAAAAAACGACGTCAAAGAGGGTAGGGGAATGAAAATCCATGATAATTTTGGCGAGATCAATCTCTAGACCTCTTTTACTGAAAATTGACATAAAACTTGCCACAAAATAACATTAATCATAGAAAGTTTAAAATAGGATAGAACGTTTTTAGACACACAAATATAGTTCCAAAAAAATATTTTTTCTCGAATTTCAAACTACACTATTTAGAAATCATGTTTACTCTATATAAAGATATATTATAACTTTCTTAATGCCAGCTGACAGTAATTGCCATTAAAAAATACAGAAGTACAGAAAATATAAGAGTACGGACTAAGTAAATGACATCTATGGCTTGACCGCGCCAACATTATCATCGATTGTCATTCGCAAGCATCTTTTAGCGCGGATTTTTTCGATCGTATGGTACTTTAACTGTATAGAATGTAATAAGGAATAAATGATAATTTAGCAAGTTTATATTCACGTTTAATATTTGTTAGTAAAAAGGTTCTTTGTTCAACCTAATACCAATTAATATAATGCAGGGGTGGTCAATTAAAAAATACAAGTTTATTAACAAACATTTTTAAAGGGGTTACTTTGTACAAGTAAATTTGATAATGAAATTGTATCCTAAATTAGGGAAGTTAAGAGTTACATATGGGAGTACGGTCTGATAATTATCTTCAAATAAAGGAGTTTAATGTTTGTTTAGTTACAGCAGCATGTAATTTAATCCTATTAGATTATATTTCCTTTAACACATACTTCACGCCCTTTCTAATATGAAATTATACAAAAAGAATTTGGTAACGTAATTGTATAATAAATTAGAGGAATTATATAGAAGGAAATATAAGTATGTGGAAAAATTACACTTTTACTGTTGAATTATTCTTTTGTATGGTGCTGCATAGAATGGCATTTTATTTTATGTTAATCCTAAATATCGACTATGCAATCAAGTATTTTCGTTGAAAAAGTCGGATCATAATTACTTAGTAATTATATATTTAAAATCGGTACCCAAAGCTAGTATTAAAAATTTTAATTGTATTATCGTTTAGTTATTAATTTCTTGCATATATTAACTGTTTATAACTATTCAAGTCAAAGTTATACCGTATGATTGAATAAAAACGGCGTCAGCGATGGCTATGAAATGACGATCGATGACATTTCCCATATAATTTTGCATATAAAATGACAGCGATTGACATAGCCATCGCTGACGCCATTTTTATTCGATCATACGGTATTTTAACCTACAAAAAACGATTTATTAGTAATCCTCTCAATTAAATTCCTTTGTAACCTAGATCTTCCGCAAATATACCTACTAAATTTAAAGGAATTTTCATATTACATTCAAGTCATATTACACCTGAACTTTTATAGTGTAAAAGAAAAATTACTGTTGTAATTATGTAAATTTAATAAGTAAGGCGCTTGAGATACATTTTTTCTAGAATACTTTGATTTGGTTTGGTTTAATATACGGTGCACCATATCTAATCATATTATGAAGGACGTGTTATAGCATAAGGGAATATAAACAGTTTAACACGATATTCTCGGGTAATCTGATGGAATGCCATAATAAGTTCATGTTAATGTTGTCTTTGTATAGGTGTACTGCTGACTTTTATTAGGCAAAACATATTGAGTGCATATTAACATTTAACGAAAATATAAAGACTATAAACATAGTTATGATTTTTTAACTATCTCTAAACTATACAGGGTGTCCCAGAAATAAGTGCAAGTATTTTAACTGGTAGTATAGCTCAACCCCAGAAACACGCCTATGAGGTTCATTTCGCGAAAAAAAAATTGAAAATTCGAAATTTTTGAAAACATTTTTTGAATTTTTTTTAGTTTTTAGTTAAAAAACATAATTTCTTGATAATATGGCAACATATGTAGGTATTAGATTACATTTACAAGAAAGAAAATCCAGAAAAGCTAATGGTTCTCAAAATTTTAGCAAAAAATATATTTTTTTTAATTTTCAAAGTAAAATAATTCCGTTATTTTGGACGATAAAGGGAAAATATGTTTATTTTATCGAGATCTACCACTCCTTAAAATACTTGCACTTATTTCTGGGACACCCTGTATTTTAGGGCATATTAGAATTAAATTTATTTTAGCATTTTTTTCTTTGTTAGGCAAATTTGTATAACTCTAAACATAACTTCTGACAAGCAGCGTTCGTTTAGGTTTAACGCCAGAAGTGTTGAAAAAAAAAATAACTATTTTATTTTGTAGATTTTCTTGCAGTACAGTGGCGAAATACCCATAAAGGATTTTTTTGGAGGGAATTAAATTAGTGTTAAAACGTACAGTATTAATTAATTAATACTTACGTATTAACTTTAATTTAATTATTAGTATGTATTTGTTACACAACTACTTAATCCGACGCTATATTTCATGTGCTTGGAAAAATACTTTCTCTTCGTTCTTTATTCAGTACATCTTATTGCACTAAGCGTACTGACTGTCCCCTCGCACACACGAAAATCGGCATCTAAAACCAGGAATACCTATCCGGTATGAGACAATCAATTTTCATTTGTGATGCTGCAATAAATGTAGTAAATATTATTATAAAACATTGCAGTATAAAATTTTATGTTATTCACCAAATCTTTAAAGTTACAACAATCTCTATTTCAATTTTCTGAATTAAAAGTTAGCTAAGTATAGTTTCTTTACAAATAATTTAATTAATATACGTGTTTCGTGTCTTATAATATTATGAAGCACGTATAATATCACACGGGTGTATAAACTGTTTTAACACGATGTTCTCGGGGTAATCAGATGGGACCGGTTAATAGGCTAATGTTTGTTTACATTATGTAATAACAGGTGCACCGTTGACTTTTATTAAGCATAATTTATAGAGACAATATGGACATTTAACGAATTATAATGATGATGAACATAATAAAATTATGATTTTCAAGCTAACTGCAAATTATATTTTGGAGCATATTATGATTAAGATATTTTCATCGTTTT